GTCTTTTGTTATTATATATATGTGTGTGTATATATATATATATATGTCTTTTTTTCCCCTTCCTTTTTTTTCTTTTCTTTTTAAAATGTTATTTATCTTACCTCTTTTTCTCATTACCCCTGTTTCCTTTTCTTCCTTTTTTCCTTTCTCTCATTCTATACTTAAGTCAATTTTCTCTTTATTCAACTCTTTTAAAAAATCCTGAGAGGCAGATATTTGGCGACAGAGCTAGTGAGGAAGCCAGTGCTTCCCTTCTTAGCAGTGCACTGTTCTAAGCAGCGTTGACCACACGGAAGATTTAGAAAGCTTATTTCCTGCACCTTAGGTCTTCACAGTCCACTTACTTCTGTAGAAGATAAAACGGAGAATCATGAGGTTCGTTGGAATGTCTAAATGTGCTTTCCTGCTTCCCACATGTAGTACAAAATGACAGGTGAACGTTGGATAAGGTAAGTTTGTAGGTCCTGCTGGTCAGACTAGGCAATGAATGTTGAGTACCTACTATGGGCTGACACTGCTTTAGGTCCTGGAGACAGAGATGAATACAAATGCAATCTTGCCTTTGAGCGTGGGCTAGAGGAGAGATAAGCCTAGAGGATACTGGAAGTGAAAAAGAAAAGAAAAGGAGTAAATAGTAGCCTGAGGTTCTGGACCAGATTAGCCTGTTTTGGAGGCTGCCTGTGCAGCAGCATCCCTGGGCTCACCCCACCTCTAGACATTAGGAGCACGTGTGTCAGTTGTGGAGCTCATTGAAGACGCAAATGTGAGACCCCTTGTTTGAAAAGCAGGGGAAAAGTGTCATTAAAGAAACTAAAATATAAACGTTTTTCATGTTCTCGGTGGCCTATTCTCATATTCTCTCTCTCTCTCTCTCTCTCTCTCTCTCTCTCTCTCTCTCTCTCTCTCTCTCTCTCTCTCTCTCTCTCTCTCTCTCTTGCTCTCACTCTGTTTTTTATTTGCTGCTTAACATCATTTCCCTGGGAAATGGGGATGCCAGCAGCACAAACACTCATAGGTGTCTGAGGTCCCCATTCTGTGACTCAGTGTGCACACATGCACTCAGCCCCAAAGCTGCCAGTTTTCTCCTCTGCCCAGCCATTGGGCCTGTGCACTGTGCCCTGGCTGAGGGCGTGGAAGTCAAGCCAGGCATCTACCCTTCCTGTGGCTGCTACTCCAACCCATGGAAGATAGGTGACCCCCAAGGGTACTGCAAAGATGATGATGGTGAGAGGTTGCATAGAGGCTTGCCCAGTGCTCCGTGGCACTGTCAGTGCGGGTCAGGGATGGCCAACGTCATGCCCACGCTGAGATACACCAGGGCTAGAACACTCTACCCCAATCTCCGCGGGCCGGCAATCAGGCTCCCTAAGAGGGCAGGAGGCAGCAATGGCTGTCCAGGAGGAGTGGGGAGAGAGGCCTGGCAGGGCCAGGGACACCAGGTAGTGGAGGAGTTGGAGCCGAAACCCCAGAAAGTCAGGGAGCAGGCAGGAGGTGGGATTGTGAGCTGGGGCACCAAGTCCCTGGGGCATGCTCCATTGTCCCATCAGGATTTCACTTACACAACAGAAGTTCAAAGGCAAAATAATTAGTATTTCAGGTTGCCACACATTACCAACTCTCGCCTAGGGGCCTACACCACCCTCAGTTGAGAAGCACTGAACTCAACCTGAGGTTAGGTGGGGTATTCCTGAAGAAGTGAGACCTTAGAGGGTCCCAGAAAGTTGCAGGGCTGGGGGCTGAGATGATTAGAAGGGAAAGAATTAATCAGGGAAGCTTCCTGCTGCCGATCATAAATTTTAAAGCAAGTTTTTTGGGGAAGTTGTGGGATCTGGTTTGACCTTTAAGCTTTGCTCAGCTCCGCTTTCTGCCTGAAATGCTCTCTGCTGTTCTGTTGTCAAAATCTTATCCTTCCAGGGCTCTGAACCCCCCACAGAACTTTTCTGTTGCTCCTATTATCATTAGCATTTGTTGCTACTTATTAATTGTGCCAGTTGTTTATATATGTATCTTTCCTGCCAATTTCTACTCTGCTTTCCTGTTTACAGTTGAAGAAACTGAGGTTCAGAGTGAAACTTGCCCAAGGCCACACCTAGGTGGCGGCAGCAACAGATTTCAAACCTTACGTGAGCCTGACGCCAAGCCCCACACTGATCCCCGTTGCCGCTGCCTCTCGGCTGGTACGGAAAATGTTTGAGGCCAGACAGAGCTGCTTTTGAGTCTCAGCTGGGTCTGAGCATCAACAGGCTTTCTGCAAGTTAAGCTCTTCGAGCATCAGTTGAAAAAACTAGAAATAGGAGTAATGGTATTGTCTCCTGGGACTGTTATGAGGAGAGAATGAGATTCTTCCTGTAAAGCAATCAGCACAGCACTTAGTATTATAAAGCCTGTTCCATTCTATCTAGCAATAGAAGTTAAGAGCATCTCTCCCACTATAGAACCAATTCCTTTACAGAAAAAAAAAAAAACCCACAAAAACAACAACAACAACAAAAAAAAAACCGGTTTGGCTCAGTGGATAGAGCTTCGGCCTGCGGACTGAAAGGTCCCAGGTTCGATTTTGGTCAGGAGCATGTACCTTGCCAAAACCGGTTTGGCTCAGTGGATAGAGCGTCAGCCTGTGGACTGAAGAGTACCGGGTTCGATTCCGGTCAAGGGCATGTACCTTGGTTGCAGTACTCCAGTAGGGGATGTGCAAGAGGCAGCTGATCGATGACTCTTTCTCATCGATGTTTCTAATTCTCTCTCCCTTCTGCTCTGTAAAAAATCAATAAAATATGTTAAAAAAAAAAAAAGAAATTGAGTATTGTTCCATCCCAGCAGTGCTGGATACCTCCTGCAGTGCCCAGCACATGGTGGGCGCTCAATAACTGTTTGCTGCATTGATTCAGCACCCCTGATGGCTCTTCACCCCCAGGCCTGGAAGCCGGGTCTTTGTCTACTTACCAGGGCACTAGAGGATACCATCCTTAGCGTGAAGCCTTGTGGCCACCTTTATGCCCAAGGTGCATGTGTGGACAGCACTCCTGAGCAGACACGAGCTGGCAGGGGCAGGGTCCTTCCTGGTTCTGCTCTACCACTAAGAATTAGAATGCGAGGAGAGGAGACATAGGTGGGCAAGACCCAGGGTAATACCCAGTAGGCCGCAGCTCTTGACGCATAGATTGGACCCAGAGCCTTTGCCGACACCCTTACAAGCTTCCCCATCACAGAAGCATGGCATTGGACGTAGACATGCGGGTCTCTTATGGTGTCTTATTTGTAGGCCGTGTATCTGCTCCCGGGCAGCTTTTTGCTCTAATCATCTGGTCATTATACAAACACAATGTTGTAGAGAAAACAGTGGTGTCTAAATTCAGATGGCATGAGGTCAACAGATGATGATTCTGGCATCTTGGGAGGGAGGGTCATTTTTCTTCTCTGAGCCTCAGTTTCTTCATCCATGAAATGTGAGTCCTAATGCCTGCCTTCCCTTCTTTGCAGGACTATTTTGAGGTTCACACACAAGGAGAAAGATCTTTGCACACCATAAAGCACTGAGCAAACATGCTAGCTCTTTGTGTGGCAGGTAACTCCTTAGATAGGAAGACTTTGGTCTCCCTCTCACACACACAATCACAAGACCTCTCTGTGCTGGGACTGTTCCGGGTGTGTCTATGTGCACCCCCCTGTTTAAGTGGGTAGAGGGCTTGGAAGATGGGAAAGAGCTGACGGGAGACACTTAGCATGGGATTAGGCAATCCATCGTTCAAGTCCAAGGTTCCGTCTCGGTTTGTGCGTCCTTGGGCCAATCCTTATGCTCATGAAGCCTCTGTTTCCTCATCGTTAATGTGAGGATGATACTGTCTACCTCCTAGATTTGGGAGGAGAAATAAAGGAGAAAGAGTAGCAAGGATGTCTCACTAACACGTATTTAAATGTTAATCTGAAAACAGATTCTAAGAGATTTTAGTAAAGGGCATTGCTTTCTCTCCTTCCCTCTAAGCACCATAGCCTAACCCATATTGTTTATTCAATAAACATTTATGGAGCACCTGCTGTGTGCTGGGCCCCCTGCCAGCCTCCCTTTTAATGGGTGTAGTAAAAGGAAGGGGAGCAGATTATTGCTCTGGAGTGAAGGCTCTCTAGCTGCTAGGTGTAGTATTTATTAGTTTAATAGCATACTAGGTTGCTAATTTTTAATTTAATCTTTTACAAACGACTGGAAACACCATCTAAAAATGACCAGGCAGAAGGGTGGGAGTTGTTGAATCAAAACGAGGGAAATCTCCTCTATGCTTAGGCGTTTCCTGGGCAGGTGTCTGACAGGGAAACAAAAGCGCAGAGCTGGAGGGATTCTAGAAAGGAAGCCGAGTGCTGGGGTCGATGGGATTGGAGATCTTCCCTCGTCCTTCAGTTCTCGCAAAAGGCTTCACCCACAGTGGACACATGGTGTTTGTAGGGAACTTACCCCAGAAGCTGTGCATTTAGGAGGAGGAGGAGGGGAAGGCAGGAAGCCCCTGAGCCACGTGCTATGTTTGAGGAAGCACTTATCCTGCCTGTGCCAGCCCCATCCAAGGCGTTCTTCTGAGTTATCTAATTTAATTTTTCCAATATCCCGATGAAGTATAAATTCCATTGTTATCACCATTTACATTTGGTGATCGCATTAAAACTCAAAGAAATTAAGTCACCTGCCCAAAGACTCCACCCTGCCCCTGAACCTTCCAGAAAGCAGCTGGCCTATTTGACTCCAAAGCCAGGATTTCCCCAGTGCACTCTGCTGCATCTCTCAGAAAAGTAATTTCTCCTCCCTGGATCTGCTCCCTCATCTCAAACATAAAGGAGTGAAGTGAGATGCCCCTCACATCTATTTCTACCTGCATGGGTGCTTTAGCCAACTGTCGACAAATTGGGGCCCATGGTCAAATCCAGACAGCCCATTGGTTTTTAAAAAATCTTTATTGTTGAAAAGTATTACATATGTCCCCTTTATTCCCCCATCACCACCTTCCAATCCACCCCAGCTCCCTGTTCCAGATTGATAATGAATATATGTTTACAAGGTCTTCAGTCCATTGTTTTTATAGAGTTTTACTGAAATACAGCCACACATATTCAGGTATGTATTGTCTATAACAGCAGAGTTAAGTACTTGTGCAAAAGACTGTATGGCACACAACGCCTAAAATATGTTACTATCTGGCACTTTATAGAGAAGATTTGTCAACCCCTGGAATATATCAGTCTACAGGTGTTAATGGTGATAAACTATATATGGTAAACGGAAAAGAAGCTGGAGGGTCACATGTCAACAGCAAACAGTTGGGAGGGAGTAAGAAGGTGACTTCCATCCACTGTTTACATTTTACACTTTGGAATCATTGCTTTAATTTACTCTTTACTAAGTTATAACTTACAGCAACAAGCACAAACCCTAAATGGATAGCCTGATGGCGTGCCCACCATCCCAATCAACATATAGGACTTCCCTAGCACACCAGAAAGCTCCCTCATGACCCATCCGTCTCTAGAAACACCCAGAAGCAACATCGATTTTAACTTCTATCACCATGGATTAATTTTTCCTGCTTGTTAATGTTGTATATACCCTTTTGTGTCTAGGAAAGGTATTCTACAACTTCCTTGCTGACAACTCAGAAAACTGAGAAGTACAAATAAGGAAACAAAAATTACCTTTATGGCATCATCCAGAAATAACCACTCAGCCTTTACATCAACAATTCCTTAGAATGTCCTATGTCTTATTTTCTCATCTTTATTAAAGTGGGGCTGCTCTATCAGTCCATCACCACCTATCCTATGTGAAACATAAACAAAGAGTGTTTCCACTGTACTCTTGTTTCTTCTATTTGGGGGAAGTTTAACCAAGGATTTTATGAGATAACCCATTTAGCTAGCATTTCCGGCTCACATCCTGTAGGACTATCTGCTGGGATGCTTACACTTTCCACAGGAAGGGGTAGGTATTGGATCTGTTCAGGGATCTGTAGCTGCAGTTACTTTGTGAGGGCTCCAATTGCCATAGGTGGCATACAGGAGGTCCACCTGGGCAGGGGGTTAAGGGAATAGATCACCTGCAAGGCTATCTGGACCCTCATCAGGAAATTTCCCTCTACTTTGTGAGACTTCCTGTATGTTCACATAGTTTGCTTGGGGTAGGGGGAAGAAGGATGGGTTTGCCGCCACCTGAATTTTGAGAGAGAAGGGAGCTTGAGAGTCAGGCTGGGCACGGAGCAACTGGAACTACAAATCAAAGTTTTGTTGTTAAAAGGGAAGTGATGGCTGGTTTTTTAATGGGTTTTACCAGCTAAACACAGAAACTGATCTTCATTACACTTGACTGCTTCTATCATGATAGCAAGTGAATAGCAAGTGAGAGAGAGAGAGAGAGAGAGAGAGAGAGAGAGAGAGAGAGCGCGCGCGCGAGAGAGAGACACAGACAAAGAGCGTGTTCTCCAGGGACATTGACTCTGAACACTTCATTATCTTTGCTGAGGGGAGCTGGGTAGGCAGAGAATGTTCTCCCAGGGGGCCCAATTGTGAGGGGGAGGGCCTCCCATATGTCACAACAAACCAGAAGACAATAAGGTGAAATGAAGGAACCTCAATTCCATGAACTCACTGCCTTCCCCTTTCTCAGGGAGCGTCTGAGGTAGTGCAGACTTCCCCCAGGGCTCCAGGCACACAGTCGCCCTTCTGCTGTTTGGCTCCCAGCACTCGTGCCGCAGATTCTGTATCGGAAAGTGGCAGCCTTGGTCCTCAGCAGCCTGGCTTGGATCAGTGACACTGGGAGGACCCGCCTTCTCGCACCTAGATTTGACTCAATTTAGCATATGGAGAGCTGTTGACCTTTCCTCCCCCACATCGAAATTCTTTTCTTCCTGAAACTAACCCCAACTTCCTCCTAATTACCTTGTTAAAAGTGGGAAAGGTAGGAGAGTTTGCTGAGAAGCACCTTTGCCAATTCCTGGAGGGGTCTGAATTTTTGTCCCTAGTCTCTTAGTCCCTCCAACCCCAGCGCTGGGTCTGCTGGACTTTGAGAACCCTAAGCCTCCAGAGGGGCTAGGTTTGACTACTGGGAACTGGCTTCCAGCCTCCCCGGACTGCCAAGCATTATCTGGCTCCAGGGTTTTCCGGGAAGTCTCCTCAATGCACACAAGCCCCCCTCACCCCTGCACTGCAGGTTCCAGTATTTCACAGGTAAAACTGAGGCTTAAAGAGGGGAAAGGGATGTTCTCTGCCCCAGAAACTATGGGTCTGTGATGAGTTGGATCCTAAAAAAAACCGTTCCCCTCTTTTTTCTGCATTGTCTTAGTGGGGTGCTCTTGGGCCTCCTCCCTGCCCTGTCCACACCCCTGGGAGATGCCGGTGAAATGTCTATGGCGCCCAAGGACTCCAGGCCTCTTACCTGGCCCAGACCGAGGTGGAGAAAACAAAAAACAAAACAAAACAAAACAGAACGTATTTCCCTCTTGGACGCCATCTCCACGCGTGCCTCCTGCCTGCGCTGCAGGTGCGGCCTCGCCCCCAGGAGCCGCTCTGCCCCGGAGCTGCGAACAAACCAGAAGTCAGTGGGTCAGGGTGGGACACGCGGCCGTCCCCTGTCCCCCGGCTGCATGCAGGCCGCGGCTGGCATTCGCTGCTGGAAAGGAGGCCCCCCCATCCTATTAATTTTGCTCCGAAAGTGGAGGCGCTTTGATAGTTTGGGTTTAAATTGGAGAGCGTGGCCCGAGCGTCCAGGTCCCCCACCACCACCACCACCACACAGACACACAGACACACACACACACACACACACACACACACACACACACACAGCCGGGGCTGGGGAAGAGCTTTGACTGCTCCCCCTGATCACACATTAGCCTGCGCCTCCTTCCCGCTCGCCTACACTCAGAGGCGACATTTCTGCAAATCTAACCCGGCAGGCTAGGGGAGGGGGGGGGGCGCTAGAGAGACGGGGAGGGGGCTGCAGAATGCAACTAAACGAGGTCTCTGCAACCTGCACTCACCCCGCCTGACCCCCCTCCCCCCTCTTCCCCCAGGTCCCGGCGTCCCTTCCTAAGCGCTCAGTATCTGCGCCCGCTGGCTCCCCGGCCCTCCACCTCCGGCGTCGGTTCGGACGCCTCGGAGCGACTCTACTTCTTCCCTCCTCCTCCAACTCCTAAGTTGCAAGAACACTCCAACCCATCTTCCCCCAGCTCTCACCTGGGCCCCTGCAGCGCAGTTTTCTTCTCTCCGGCCTGGAGCCGGGCCCGCGGCCGGTGGCCGGTGGGAAAGCCCGGACGGAGCCTTCCATGCCGGGCTGCAAACGCCTGGCTTCGCGGGTCCAAAGGTGGGCTCCGGTTTGGCTGATAAACAGAACCGGTGCACGGAGGCCCTCAGCCCCCGGCGGGAGCGCCCTGGGCCCGGCCGGCCCCGGTCCCGCGCGGCTCCCCGGCTCCCCGCGTCTGCCCCTCGGGCTGGCCCGCTCGCGGTTTTCCCCCCTCCCCGCGGGCATTTGCATCTTGCCGAAAGCCGGCCCTCCCCGCTGATTTGCATATCTTATATGGCCTAATGGTGGCGATCATGGCCAGTTAGAAGTTCCTCTGACTTCTCGGAGGAGACTCCCGGGCCACCCCGGGGGAGTCACAGGTGTCTGGAGGCTGAAGGGTGGGGTGGGGGGGAGCTTCCTGGACTTGGGGTTCGTTTGTGAAACTCCCCACCACCCTCTTTTCTCGCACCGACATCCCCCCTCCCTCCCCTTCTTTTTTTTTTTTTTTTTTTCTGTCCTTGGAAAATGGTGTCCAAGCTCACGTCGCTCCAGCAAGAACTCCTGAGCGCCCTGCTGAGCTCCGGCGTCACCAAGGAGGTGCTGGTCCAGGCCCTGGAGGAACTGCTGCCGTCGCCGCCGAGCTTCGGGGTGAAGCTGGAGACCCTGCCCCTGTCCCCCGGGAGCGGCGCCGAACCTGACACCAAGCCGGTCTTCCACACCTTAACCAACGGCCACGCCGCCAAGGGCCGCCTGTCCGGGGACGAGGGCTCCGAGGACGGGGACGACTATGACACCCCTCCCATCCTCAAGGAGCTGCAGGCGCTCAACACGGAGGAGGCGGTGGAGCAGCGGGCGGAGGTGGACCGGATGCTCAGGTAGGTGCGGGCCAGGCGGGGGTGCGCCTGAGCCCACCCTGAGCTCGGCCACCCAGAGAAGGGAGTCCCCGGCGGGGTGCCCCGCTTCTCTCCCCCACACTTGGACCCCTCCCAGCCTCTCCTCCCCTGGCCGGCCCCGAGCCCCGGGCCTCCTATCCCCCGGCTCCCGCTAGTGTCCGGCCGGAGGCGCCCTCCCGGCAGAGCAGGAGCTGGGCCCGTAGAAACCGAGCGGCGGGGCCCCTTGCTTTGCCTCAGGGCTGCCCGCGCACCTGAAGGGGCGAGTGGGTGCCATGGAGCAGCCGCGGGTCCCCGGGAGCACAGGCTCGGGCCCCGCGAGCCTCGCAGGCCACGCATTTCTCCGCCTCTGGGTGCAGGAAAGCGCAGGCCGGCCTGCGGCACCGGCCTGGCCCCGAGTGCTCTGCAGAGGGGCCGGCTGCACCGGGCCGGGTCTGGGGGCGACTTCTCCCATTGGCACTCCCACCCCCACTCCCACTGGCAGCGCTCCTGCTAGGCCCCAGGATCATCCGGAATCCCCCTCCCCAAACAGGTGTAGGTTTGCAAAGGAAACGGGTTGACTGTGGCAGGGCCCGGGTGGACCCGCACTGGGCAAAAGAAAGCGCACGCAATTGAAGCACGGGAGCGGGAGGCCAAGGCGGCTCACAGCCCGGTTCATAGGGAGCCTGGCCGCGGCTGGAGGAAGGAGGGAGTTTCTGGATCAAGGGAAGAACCTCAAGCCCATGAATTGTAGCAAAGTATTTTTGGAAGAAAAAAACAATCTAGAAATTGCCCTGACTGTCTTTGCTAGTTTCTGGATCTCGCCGGTGACATCCCGGCGGCGTCCCCGGGGACCCAGGCGGCTGGCTGGCGGTCCGTCCCCCTGCCCGGGGTCTCCCTTTGCCGGGGTCTCCCTTTGCCGGGCCTCGGAGGCCGGCTTTGGGCGTTGACAGCTGGTTACTGATTGTTGAAGGAGCCGAGCGGGTCCCGTAGAGTGCGGGGCGCTCCCGGCCGCTTCGCCGAGGACCCAGCCCCTCTGCGGCCTCAGGCACCTGGGGGCCGCGGTTCCCAGGCCCGTCCTGCACCTGGGCAGCCTCGCCGCGCGCCCGCAGCGGCGGTTTGGGGTGGGATGTGACCTTGCATTTGAATTTGCTACCTGGAGATCCACCGGTTTACTCTCTAGCAAAGACTGGAGAATTTCTAGATCTTTTTTTCTTCCAAAAGTACTTTGCTACAATTCATGGGTTTGAGATTCTTGCCTAGTTTTCCCCGTGCAGTGGCGGGTTCTCTCTCCCCCTCCCCAACTCCGAGGGTTCGGGGGCAGGCAGGTGAGCCGGGTCGGGAGGAGGGACTGGGGGCGCCGGGGCGGCCTGGAGGTGGACCAGGGCCGGGCGGGGGAACTGAGCTCCCGCCGCTGCCGCCTGCCCCGGGCCCGCTGGGCCTAGGCCTCTCCGCCGGGCCGCGGACGCCCCCCTGCCAGCCGCCGGGCTCCGGGGAAATCTGGGAGAGCCCGGGGCGCCCCTCCGCACCCAGCCCGGCGCGGGGCTGCACGCAGCACGGAGGTAACATAAACCGTAGCACGTGGAGTGAGGGCGTTATTAATTTATTCCTATAAATCATCAACAGAAAGATACACAAAGAGTCGTGATTAGGTTGAAAAGAGAGGCGGGTTATTCATTGGCGAAGCTGTAAACGCGGCTGGGAGAGGGAAGCAAAGCCACACGCGGGCGCGGGGCTGCGGGGCGCCCTGGCCAAGCCCCCCGCGCGGCGCCGCCTGCGATTCCTCTGCGCCCCGCAGCCCCGGCTCCCGCGGGCGGGGACCCGGCCTGGGGGGTGGGGGGGGTCAGACCCTCGCCGGGGTGCAGACCCAGGACTGACCCACGGTGTTCCCCGTCCCGAGCTGCCGCTGCCTTTCCTCCCCCACCTCGGGAGTTGTCGGACTGTATTAAAAGTAATTTTTCAAGAAATGGCTAACGGTTCCCATGGCACCGAGCACCAGGCACAAGCACTCCCCTTTGGGCGCACTCAGTCCCCCTGAGGCGGGAAGAAACGGGCAGGGAAGGTCACTTTTTGGAGCTCCTGCACGCGCCGCCCGGACAACCTTCTGGAAGGGGCTGTGTGGCCGCGGCTCCAGGTGGGGCGGCTCCGGGCGGCGGCGCGGGGTCCGGGGCGGCGGCGCGGGGTCCGGGCGGCGGCGCGGGGTCCGGGCGGCGGCGCGGGGTCCGGGGGTGCCGCTCGGGCCTGGGGGTGCCGCTCGGGCCGGAGGTGTTTGCTCGGCAAGGAGCTCGCGGGGCGGCGGTTGACACCTGCGCTGCGAGCACAATGGCCGCGCGCGCTTCCCGGGAGCCGTGCACTCACCGGGCTCAGGAACCCGGAATATTTCCAAATTTTAAAAAGTAACCGGTTCTCCGAGCTCTTCCCAGCGGAGAGATGTACATTCTGGGGGCAGAACGCCGTAAAGGTGTAACTGCGCCATCTTAGCCCCGACTCCAGCCCTTCACTGCGGCTCACAGGTTTGCTACCGTTCACGGGGTTTTCTTGGGCTTTTGTGTGTGTGGTTTTTTTTTTTTTTTTTAAACCTTCCCAATTGTTGAGCGAATTCACTCTTTCCACAGAACCTTTAGGTCTTAGAACATGACACCGTTTCACTAGGTTTTTTAGACGCACAGAATGAACACAGGTGAAGAAATTCAAGCAAAACAAAGTAACCAAAAGAATCTGTTAAAGCAATAGTAACTGGAGCAAATGCTTTTTCTGACTTTAGCTATTGTTATTCCTATCTGCTGAAAGTGTTTTTCTTCCCTAAAAAATATCGGTGGGAACTACTCACCAGAAATAAGCTTTTAAGTTATCTCTGATAACACGGGTATGTCCAAAATGTTATGTTCTTTTTCTCGTACTGGAGGTGAATGTTTGAAACTGTACTTGCATTTTCTCATTTCTTTTTGTTCTTGTTATTACTTCATTGTACTGTATTAGTTGGAAGCAACCTTTTTTTCATTCTTGAGAAATTCATTAACTTAATCTTAAAGTTTGCATTTCTCAAATACCTCTGTTCTCACGAATTTAATATCAAAGGACTGCTAACATAACCTGTTATTCAAATGCTTACAAACTATACCCATTTAATTACTAGATTTTTAATTCATTAAACAAAATTTATTTGACATATTATAGGCACCCTTTAGAAATAAATTGGTTATTTAATCTGCAACACCATATCTGTTTTGATCTTTACACCTTTTTTTATTGTTTTATCTGAAACTAACTTTTCCCTTCATTTTTTTTTTCGTGTTCTATCAGGCTATTATACAGTAAAGGGCTGTTGATTTTTTAAAAATTAAATATGTAGCTGCATTAAATAGTGTATGTGGAGATATTGTTTCTTTTAACACTTTTTTCTATACTGTACATTGTTTGTTTTAAATGGTATCTCTCAGTTTTAAGTCACCTCTTCAACAAACAAGAAAAGATATTGACAAAGTTTACTTATTATGAATAAGTAAAATTCAAATGCATCAACACATTGTTTTAAAGAAGCCTTTTGCACCTTGTTTTCGCATTGTTTATGAGAAATGAAAAATATAAGTTCTTATCTGAAGCTTGAACTTTAGGAAAAATTTTGCCTTTCCGATATTCTGACCCAGTTAGGGCAGAAATGTCAGAATACAGGAAAACAAGGGGAGAGGTAATATCTTATTCAGAAACCAAAATTGTTTATTTCGCCCCATTAGGTTTTATTTGGGAGGCGTGGCTGTGGTGAAATTTATTTTTTAACTTTATGTGTTTGCCTCAAGGGAGTGACTTTTCAGTTCTTAAAACGTTTCAAAAAATTGGAAAACCATTCCATATCTGGCTAAGACGTCCTCCTTGCATCTCAGGAGGTGGACATATATGTTTTACTCCTATTTTATAAGACAAGAAACTGAGACACCCAGCCAGAAGGAAAAATAATGTGTGAGAGGTCTAGGTAAATTGAGAAACTGATGCTACCCCCTATCCTGGTAGGATCATTCTGCCAGGCACCTCCACTTTCTGATGGGAGACTTTTAAGTCTCTCATTCCGGGCAAACGAAGGAAACCAAAATAAAATAGGATCGTTTCTTTCTGCCTAATGAGGGCTGGCCATGCCTCCCCATTCTTGAAGACGGGAAGTCATCTCCATCTTTCCCCTCCTCATCGCGGGAGAAAGGGATGGAGGTGCTGTACAGGCGCTCTCCTAGAGCACTCTATGGGTTCTGTTTTGGCCTCACCTCTTTCCCAAGGATGCAGCTAGGACAGGGGAAGAAACGGGTGAAGACCAGAGTTTTGCACAGAGT